AAAACCAAACTCACAGCCGTTGAGTCAGTTCCGACTCATAGCAACCCCTCCGTGGGTTTCCAAAGCAGTATCTCTATGGAACTAGATTGCCCAACCTTCCAAGGAGTGGCTGGTGAGTTTGAACCGCCAGCCTTCTGGTTAGCAATCAAATGCCATAGCCACTATACCACCAGAGCTCCCTAAATATCTAAGTAAGGGCTTCTCATTTGGAAGGAACATATGAGAGGAAATTTCCCTTGAACCAAGTCATAAAAGTAAGTAGTGGTTAGGGATGGTAGGTATCACTGACATCCTTATTATCATAGCTACAAGTTATCCAGTGTTTACATTCAGCCAAGCACAGTACTAATCATATACATGCATTACTGCATTTGTCATTAATCTACCCACCAGCCACTCCTCGGAAGGAAGGTTGGGCAATCTACTTCCATAGTGATACCGCCTCGGCAACCCAAGGAGGGGTCGCTATGAGTCGGGTCCAACTCAATGGCACATAACAAACAAAAACAAAAGGTGCTATTATTATACTAGAGTACCTGCATATTACAAGTGATTAAATGCTCGGCTGCTCACTGAAAGTTTGGTAGCTTGAGTCCACCCAGAGGTGCCTCAGAAGAAAGGCCTGATGATCTACTTCCAAAAAACCAGCCATTGAAAAAGCCTGTGGAACACAGTTCTCCTTTGGCACACATGGGGTCACCATGAGTTGGAATTGACCTTATGGGAACTGGATTGATTGTTTGATATTATTATCCCAGTGTTAAGGAGCTCTGGTGGCATTTAACTGCAACCCAGAAGGTTGACGGTTCAGACCCACCAGCCATTCTGCAAAAGGAAGATGGGGGCAATCTACTTCTGTAAAGATTTACTGCCTCAGAACCCAATGGGTATTGCTAAGAGTCGGAATCAACTCAATGGCAGTAAGTTTAGTTTTTTGTTTGTGTTTATCCCAGCGTTGCTGGTGGAGCACAAAGAATTTGAATAGGTTTCCTAAGGCTGCAAAGCTACCGGAGTGGTCAGGTGGAGATATATCCCGGGTTGGATGCTTCCAAAGCCTTTGCTCTTAACCTCCAAGTTGAGCTGTCTCCCTCACCATGATTCTGGTTTGCCATGCTAAATTGTGTCACCTGTCTGTGCCTTCCTAGAAGAGAGGCTGAAAAACAAGTACTCTACTTTTTTTTAGCAGAAGGTAGCAAGGAAGATAAGTAGTGAAAATGACTGCTAAGTCAGCCAACTTATCTGCCACAAGCAGATGGGAGACAATTCATATGAAATGATGTGAAATTTAGTAAAATTTGTGGCAAGAAGAGTGTAATGGAGGGGACAAATACTGCAATGGTTAGGTATATAGGACTAGATGATTATATAGAGCAGTAGTTCTCAATCAGGGTGCAATCCCCAGCCAAGGGACATTTGGCAATGTCTGGAGATGTTGTTGGTTGTCATAACTGGAGGTATGATATTGGTATCTAGTAGATAAAGGTCAAGATTGCTAATAAATATCCTACATGCACAGGACAGCTCCCTACAACAAAAGTTCTCCAACCCAAAATGTCAATAGTGCCAAAGTTGAAAGAACTTAGTTACAGTGGATAAAGGAGGAGTGTAGGATCATTTCCCGTTTTCTGGTTTGGTGGCTGAGTAGATGGTGACGTTATTTACTAAGATGGAGATTTATAGGAAAAGGAGCAGAGTTTACATGCAGCTGTGAACAAAAGATGGGGATAGACATGCTGGTTGTTAGGGAATCTTCCAGGTAGAATAATGCATTAAGAAAAGAAATAAGGACAGAATGTTGGAGCTACCAATACTTACCAGCATAGGGAAAAGGAAAAGGAGCCATGAAAGTAACTGAAAACAAGCAGTCAGGATGCAAAGAAGAAATTAAAAAAAAAAAAAAAAATGATGTCATAAGACAAAGGAGAGAAAGTTTCAGAGAGGAGGGTTGGTAGACCCTGGTGAAAAACTGCTGTATGGTTTGAAGTGTATTTTTCCAACAGGACAGACAGCTGCAATGCACTTGCAAGCCTTCCTTGAAAGCTCTGCAGTGGTCAGTAGAGTAAGGGTAGAAGTGGTATGTTCCTCCTCCTGTTCTAGCCACTACTAACAATCTACACATGGAAGGCAAACAAAAACTATATAAGTAGATCATGACATGAGTTGGGGGAAAAAAAAAAAAAAAACACTTTTATTTGTCACTACCATTGAGATTTAAGAGTTGGTTTCCACAGTTTATCATCACCTACTTTCACTCATATACCAAGTCTATAAAAATCTTGAATATGATCCTGACTATATCTCACCTCAAGAATAGATTAGACACACTGAA